CTGGCTAAATGCCCCGAAGGGGTATTAGGGCAGGGCTTCGCGCGCCTTGGCGCCCTGCGCCTTATCCTTCTACCCCTCCATAGCTGTTAGATAGCTTAACCACTTCTTCACCACGATCATAACAGCTACATCTGAGCTCTAGTGACCAGGTGATACCCTCTGTTGCTTCTATAGCAGCACCATACCCCATTACGGAGATATCCCGTAATACTGTCTTTTATATAACTATAGTTATTTTGCTATTTTTTTTCTTTTTTTTCTTCTTAAGAATCTTTATAATATTTATTAGATTCTTCTTTATTTGTTACTAATTAACATAACTTTTTCTTTTCTAGTGCTCTTCTTTCTTCTTGTTTATCTGTCTTCTTAAGAAGCATGCTTAACACGTGCAAGCTATACACGTTTTGCTGCCATCTTCTCAGATAGCTATAGCTGCTCACTAGCCCTATGAGCCCTATTCTATTATATCTTGCTTGTTCACTAAGAGGGATATATAAAGTTACTACTAGATATATAATCAAAAGTAAAAGAAGTATCTAATTTTCTAGTCATAAGTAATTACAATAATATATAGCAAGAGTATCATGTGACATGGCTTGGCCAGTTATGCCAAGCCTATCATGTGCTAGCACCCAGATTTAGCTTGAATATCACAGTATTATTAGATCTTCCGAGGCTAGCACTCGTAGCGGATTTGCCACATATTGCCGGCATAATGATGAGCCTTACTACCTACTCCTACTCCATCGTCTCATTGTCAAATATTCTTGCTGCAATGCTCCCTGTTACGCTTATGGGCTGCGTATTGGAATATGGGTTTAGATCACCTATCTGTGATGAAGTCGAGCGCCACTCTCTGCGGCAGGGATGCTCCATCAATTCTACCTCCTGCTTCCCTCCATTCCACAGCTCCTGGAGCCAAGCACATCTTTCGAGAACCACCAATTTGAGAATACGGTTCTTTGGCAGGATTGATGTTGGATCAACATGATGTCACTAACTTTTCACTCCCGTTCTCACCCTACCCCCGGCTGACCGCCCTACACCTATTCTAACGTCCATCTTCCAAGCCTCCTTTCCTCATCATATACACGCCGAGTTCAGCGGCCACGAGCGGGCATAGTTGCGACAATGTCACGTACATCTATCGAGCTGAACCCCCTCAGCATGTCTCGTACATCAATCGAGCTCAAGGCAGTCTCACCTATACAACCAACACTTGAAAAGGTTCATAGTGCAACTAGAGATACACATTATCGCCATGAGAAACAGACACCGCCAATGAGTACCAAGAGCCCCAACAAAGCGCGGTCGCAAGTAGCCGATGCAGAATTTAATCTGTCCAAATTCAGGATGACGCTGGTCATTATCAATGTAGCGTCGGTGACGTTCCTTCGAAGCGTTGTTGAAGGACTTGTGATTATCCAGCTGCCCACAATCGCAGCTGATATCAGTTTGGATCGGGGGCTATTACTCTGGTCAGTTCGATATATCTCTACACAAATTGACAGTACTCTTGCTTCTATCAACGTATTAAGTTTTTCGCAACTACCAAAAGAGAATAGCTACAAAAATGAGTTTGACCCTATAACCTTTGACCCCTTCATCCTCACCCTACCTCTATCTTCGTCGACTCTATCCCCCCAACTAACAACCCCCCTCTAGGCCCGTATCCATCTATCCCCTAACCTGTGGCTGCACCCTCCTAGTGCTTGGTTCCATCACCGACACCGTTGGCAGCCGCCCAATGTACCTCATCGGCTGTGGCCTGCAATGTGTCTTCACACTTGCGACCGGCCTCTCCCGGAACGGCGTGCAGCTTCTTCTCTTCCGCGCCTTTTCCGGTATTGCCATATCCTTCAGCTTGCCGTCCGCCGTCAGCATCGTAACTGCCAGTTTGCCCACCGGTCCGTGGCGGAACACGGCTGTTGCGGCCATGGGAGGTGGGCAGCCGGTGGGGTTCTCGATAGGGCTGGTTGTTGGTGGCGTATTGGCGGGGACTGTAGGGTGGCGGTGGGGATATTATATTTTTGCCATTCTCAATGCCATCATCTTCATCCTCGCCGTCTATGGACAGCCTAAGTCGCGCGGAGATGGTCCGATTACTTGGCAGAGGATTGTATATGACATTGATTGGGTTGGAGCGATCATTCCAAGCATCGCTTTAGCAATGCTTTCGTACGTCCTTGTGTGAGTGAAGCCTCGCATCATTTCTATTTTCAGCCCTAGCTAATACAATGAAGCTCCGTAACATCCAGCACCTCCAACATTCGCACCCTGGTCAACATCGCCCTTCTCACGGTTGGCATCCTTCTCCTCCCACTCTTTGTTTATTGGATGTCCTATCAAGAACGCCACCACCATCCTGTCCTCATCCCAAATTCCCTCTGGAGCAACACAATCTTCACCTCAATCTGCCTAGCTGTCTTCCTGACTTGGGGCAACTTCAACGCCTTCGAAGCCATTATGACCTTTTTCTTTCAGGATGTCCAACACCACTCCCCTCTGCAGACCTCGATACGCTTCCTGCCCGAACCCATTGCTGGTGTGCTCACGAACTTGGCTATGGCACTCCTCGTGCATCGTGTCAGGGCTGATTGGCTGGTGGGCGTTTCAACGGCGCTTTCAGCCGTAAGCCCACTGCTTATGGCGGTGTCGCAACGTACATGGAGTTATTGGGCCGGCCCGTTCACGGCGTTGACGTTGAATGCGATGGGCGCGGATGCCTTGTTCACAGTGAGCAATTTAGTCATTACTGATGTCTTTCCTGAAAGCAAACAGGCATTGGCGGGATCGGTATTCCAGACTGTAAATCTTCCCACCCCATTCAAATAGGCATGGTCTCTACATGCAGCTATAGACGTCTAACACGAGTTTTATCTCCAGGTTGTCCAAATCGGAAAAGCTGTTGGGCTGGCAACCATCCCAATTTTGGCAAGCAGTGTGACAGATCGATCGTCATATGCAGACAAGCGGAGCCCAGACGCGCTCTTTGAAGGCTTTCGGGCTTCATTCTGGTTGTGCTTTGCAGAGTCCATACTCACTCTCGTGGTCAGTGTATGGGGCTTGCGATTGATTGGGAAAGTTGGGATGAAGCGGGAATAGTGCTTGACAAAAGATCTAGATGTCATTAGTATTATCTCTAAAGAAGTTAGACAAATTCCCCAAGTCGTGTGAAAGTTGGTCCTATCGAACGATTTGGCTTCTTGCATAGTCATGTAGCAGCAGTATCCCAAGAAGTGGAACATGGCGGGATGGTATCTACCCATTCTCTACCAGCTAGTCTTCTTGGTCAATAGCTACGCTAGCTAAAAGGAACGGCGGCAAAAAACTTACAGTGCGGTCAGAGCCTATGCTAAGAATGCCCCTTAGTATATTTGTTCTCATTCTACGTTACAGACAATCTAGCCACATGCTTACCCCAAAATTCTTTGGAGACAAATGGTTATCATTCACTATCTATTATAGAGCGGACCAAGTGCTCGCCTCGCACCCTAAGACGGAATCTTGGTAGCTCTCTCTCCAAGCTCGCGCCAATTGTACCGCTACCATGGGGCATCACTGTGCCCGCTTCAACACCTTCTTCCTGCGCCCAAAGACATCTTTGCTACCCTCCACATTTCTCAAAGCCTTCATCCTTGCCTCCCCCACGTCCTTCAGCAATCTGCCTCTTGTCACTCTCGTCTCGACATTGACACCTTCCTCCTTCCACTCAGACATCTGTCTCCCAATGTGCTTCTCAATTGCTAGCACAAGTTCGACATCTCTCTGGCCGACAAAGGTAACACTTGTACCTGCTCGCCCTGCTCTGGCTGTTCGACCGACGCGATGGATATAATCGTCAGGATTGCGTGGGACATCATAGTTGATGACGAGATTGGTGGACGGAATATCCAGCCCTCGAGCTGCAACATCTGTCGCCACGAGCAGGCGACAGGTCTGAGCACGAAAAGAAGAGAGATTTTTTACACGTTGAGATTGCGGCATTTTTGAGTGGAGGTTGGTGACATTGTGTTCCAGAGTCAGAAGGATGCGATGGAGCAGATCTGCTGTCTGGGTTCGGTTGCAGAAAATGATGATAGACGGTAAGTCGACAATGGATGGCACGGACAATAGAGCGTGGAGGAATGAGTCTTTCTGTTTTAATGGCACTTGAAGGTAGTTTTGTCTAAGTGAGGAAGGAATGAGAGCTTGAGGAGTATTATCTTCGGTATTAATCTCGGAAACAAATATCGGAGGACGGTCTTTGGGTCTTGCGAGGGACTTCAGTGCTCGAACTTCAGGGGTAACCGTGGCAGTGAAGAGAAGGGTGTGACGTTGTGTCGACGGCGGAAGCGCAGAAAGACAGGTTCCTACGTCCGGCAGCATGCTTCCCGGGCCAGGAGCATTCAACAACCGATCGGCTTCGTCGAGCACAACGAATTGGGCGCGGGAGAGTCCAGCAACGGTATCCTGTCCCGAATTGAGGATGTGGTCCGCCAGGCGACCCGGTGTAGCTACCACAATGTGAGGACGTTGCGACAGAGCAACAGCCTGCAGGCACATGTCTGTCCCTCCAACAACTAAGGCCGTCTTCAAAGACTGCGGTGCTCCCAGTGCCTGGAACTGCTCGTATATCTGTAAAGCAAGTTCTCGTGTAGGCGTAAGCACAACAGCATAGATTCCAAATGGGTCTTTTGACCATTGTTGCAGAATCGGAACTGCAAAAGCGACCGTCTTTCCTGTTCCTGTTCTGCTGCCTCCAATACAATCCCGTCCTTTGAGAATCTCTGGTATGCATGCTTTCTGGATTGCAGTTGGCCGCTTGATTTGCATCGCCGCAAGAGATTTGATGAGCCAAGGCGAGACTTTCAGTGCCTCAAAGGATGGTTCGACTGTCTGTATCGAAGAAAATTTGACAGATAGAGTAGTGGATTTGGTGGAATGAGTCTTTTGTACTGGTATTCGCGATGGTGCGGTGTAGGCTGTGTATGGGCGATCTGAGTCTACACTGTCTGTCGAGAGCCTTCTGCGCTTTGAACTAGGCCGTAGAACATCATATTCGTACTGGGAGGCAGGTGACGAGCTTCTTGAGCTGGAAAGATGTACAGATGTCCATTCCGGAGCCATTTCTCTTCAACAGTTACTGCACGAAGGCCGCGGACGGATTTTTGCAACGTCGGCAAAAATATTTATTTGTCCTTGCCCCACTTGGAAGGATGAGAGAATATGCGTAAACCCCTCCAGCATCAATAACCATTTCCCCTGTCAACGTTAGTTGTACTACATCGGAATACTCAAATCTCTTTGCAGTTGACTCATAGTCACTAATCGCAATGGGTCAACCATCGTTCTCTGCATCGAATGCCATTATCTACGTGACATATGGTGCATTCTTGTATGGTGCGCTGCTGTACACTTTTACTCGGTTGTTGACCTTTTCCCAGGGCTTTTGGCTGCTTCATAGCATGGCGCCTTCGACATCAGACAAAGGGACAATTTCTATCCAGCAACAGGACCCAGAAGGGCAAGTCTTTGCGCAATCATTGCACTTCGACGATACCACCCTGGCTTATCACCTGGATTGCTAATGTATCGTGTAGGCATACCGCTTGCCCTCAATTTTATCGCATCTGGTGAGTCTGCTGCACGTGCCATCGTGGTATTGTGAAGCGGCAGCAACGTGTACGACCATGGGCTCTTCGCAGCTGGTCTACGGGATATGGTAGATTCAATACCTGTAGATCCCTTGATGAATGCAGTCGGGGATTTGTTCAGCAGGATGGTAAGCCTCGAACACAGCGATCGTCCTCGGTTTATTCTTCCGAGTAGGGTTACTCTCTGGGCATCCCTACTTCGGGAGTGGACTGAAGAGGATTGTGCGGCTTCACTACGGGTGCTGATTGCGGTCAATACTTCTGCATGGTATCCACCTCCTCTTCTGGTAGGGAGAGATACTCCAGAGTATGTCTGGCATGACGCTGAGATTGTACCGTAAAGACTCGATCAAGTTAATGCTTGCGTGGGAAACGTGCTGCCGCTTCTCCCCCTTCCCTTTTCCAAGAAATCATCAAGCTGATAGCAGGTTCCAATTATAGCCCTTGGTTCAGGGATTCTTTTCGCTTATCCTGAAATCTCCACCGTTGCAGGTGTACAAGGGCTTGTCGTCTATTCCTTGTCCTCCGCTTTACCACTTTTGGTATTTGCCTTTCTTGGGCCAATCATTCGGCGAAAATGTCCTGAAGGCTTCGTTCTCACCGAGTGGACTCGTCAGCGCTATGGAACAATCGCTGCATTGTATTTGAGTGCCTTAACGTAGGATGATCAGTTCTTTTATCGCCTCCGTCTCCGTTGACTTTTTTTTCTTAGATTGATCACATTGTTCCTCTACATGGTTGCTGAGCTTTCAGCCCTTCAACAAATCGTGAACACACTGACCGGTCTCAATGGGCTTCCCGTTGTCATCGTTGAGTGTGTTGTCACGACGATTTACACCTCACTCGGTGGATTTCGGGTGAGCTTCATCACGGACAATGTTCAAGGCGCCCTCGTTGTGATGCTTATCATCATCGGCGTCATTACAGTTGGAGTGGAAGTTGATGTCGACCGTAGCCTTGTGGGATCATCTGGACTGCTCGATGCAAGCCTTCTTGGCTGGCAGCTCATTTACATCCTCCCTGTTGCCATTCTCACCAATGACTTCTTTATCAGTGGCTTCTGGATGAGAACCTTTGCATCGAAGACCGACAAAGATCTCCGAGTTGGGGTTTCGATTGCTACCGTCGCTGTTGCGATCATTCTTACCCTTATCGGTTCTTCGGGGCTTCTCGCAGTTTGGTCGGGTGCTTTGACCGACCCAGAGACGGAAGGCTCGATTGCTTTCTTTCTGCTTCTTGGGCAGCTACCAGCGTGGGTCGTTGGGATTATCCTCGTGATGGTGGTTTGCCTGTCCACGGCTGCCTTTGACTCTTTCCAGAGCGCCATGGTTTCTACTGGGTCGAATGATATCTTCCGCAACAAGCTTAATTTCTGGTTCGTCCGTGCCGCGGTCGTCCTGATCATCATTCCCGTCGTCGTGGTTGCCCTGAAATCGCCTTCTGTCCTGCGAATCTTTCTTATCAGTGATCTGGTTTCAGCATCATCGATTCCAGTCTTGGTTATTGGGCTCAGCGACAAATGTTGGTGGTGGCGCGGCTTCGAAGTTGTCGTAGGTGGTCTTGGTGGCATTTTGACTGTCTTCCTATTCGGCCTAGTCTACTATGACGGCAATAGTGGAATGGCGGGGAGGCTCATTATCCTTGAGGGAGGACTGTTTGCTGGGGACTGGAGCACGTTTGGTAAGCTCGCGTCATCCTGGATGCCACGTCTTCAGCTCATCCTCGCATATAGGCGCATTCGTGGCTGCCCCCATTGGGGGCCTGCTCTGGGGATTTGCAGCATTTGCCCTCCGCCTGTCGGTTCAATTCATCCTCGCCAAAGTACGCGGACACAAACTCACTGCCCTCGATCGACCTGTTCGTTCTTCTCCGGACCCGACTTTCTTTACCGGAGGCACCGCCTCGGAAGGCGACCCCAGCCCTGTGAGTGGCGGGTATTATGGTGACCAGAAAACTAAGTTCTTTTGAATCGTGCCAGCAGAAACGTTGTAGGTGTCTTCGCGGTCTCGGGTTTATGTTCTGAATTTCTGATAGTGACGGCCTTGATCATGTCTGGCTACGAAATGGGGACACGGCCATACTGATTACAATCGAGGTGGTTGTCAAGAATGTATAGTTTGCCCTACAGATTGCCTTGCCAGTGCCACCCGTATACTTGGAGACTTACAGACCTCCGATATTGTTCACCACCCTCTCCGTGCCGTGTTCAATTGTGGACCGTTATCTAGCAATTCAGCACTTATGATACAAATGCAAGTCGAATTGACTTGAAATTGGTCAATAGAAAACGATGTGCAAGAACTAACTCGTTCCTTGTCGAAGCAGAAAGCTCCCCGCTGAACTTATCCAAGCAAGGCTTTCCTCTGCTCTCCCTTTCTCCTTTCTCCCCCCATGCCGCTGCCGTGCCTCCTGGTAAAAATCTCAGTCATCGTCATCAAATATTTGATACGTATTCAGAATGATCGTCTCAACTACCCTGGCTTGCCACGCTGCATCATTCGGATCTCCGAGCCCAGGCCCACCTCCTTGTCCCATCAGCGTCGGTCCAAACACAATCGCGAGATTACTTGGCGTCATCTTATTCTGTGGGCTGTGTTCTGCCACCTTGTACAGATGCAGCGTCAGCTGACGGAGTGTAGCGTAATGCGGGTCGGGAAGCTCGTTAATAATTGCGTGCAGCGAATCGCGGCGGCCGATGTCATCTTCAATTCTGGCGGCGGTTCTGAAGGAGTTGTAATTTGCGGAGGTGAGGAGTGGGTCTGGGAGGTCACGAAGGAAGTGTTTAAGCAGTGTGGCTACAGAAGCAATGTCCTGATGGAAGACGGTAGGGTTGCGGAAGTCGACCTGAGAGGAATCTGTGGGTCATAATTAGCTTAATTGAGGAAAACAATGGATTGGAGTGGCCCACCATTGTCGAACATGGCTTTCATTTCCATAATGTGGGGATTCGATCCGGATGTTCGGTAAATGCCCTCAACATCCAAACCGAAGAATTCGACAGCACTCGTACACTGATTCACGATCGAGGGTACCGCAGTCCCATCACGGTGGAAGAGCTCGTCTAATGTGACACCAAAAACCGGATTCAGTGGTGGCAGATCCGGTCGTGGCCCATCGCTGTGTCTTGGTTGACCAGTGTTCGGCAATGACGTGCTCTGCTGAGGGGCGGGGGGACCAAAACTGTCGTAAGATGGCTGTGACCGTGGTAGTTGTTGGAAGTGATTGTTCGGTGCTTGTGAGGGTCTGGACTGTACATCATCGCGATATTGATTCATGTGGGGGATCATTGAACCGGTTCCAGAGCCAGACTCTGATCGCATCCTATTGGTATCACCAAAGTTGGGTGGTGTATCTGTTTTGGGCCCATCTGGTGTACCCAGGTTTGTGCCAGGCATGATAAGTGGAGAGTGAGGGGGGATATCGGGAATCTGTGCACCTAGATAACGGGGTGGTTGTGAATGGGATAGTGATGTGTGTCCACCGGGATACTGGGTTTGAGGCACCTGCATGGGGTAGCCCTCACGGTTAGGTGGCTGGTAAGGTGTCACACCGGAGATTTGACCCGATTGTGATGGACGATGACCTCGTTCGTATCCGCCAGGTGAGCTAGAAGCCACCGGGCTTGCGTTTTGGTAGGTGTTTGTCGGAGTGTTGAAAGATTGCTGAGGTGGTTGAGATGGCGGTTGGGCCTGTTTGGAGGAGACTAGAGCTGGATGCTTTTCATACTTTATTTCAGATGTCCGTGACCCGGCCTTGTTGGAGAAAATCAGGATATAATCTCTGAAATCCTTTTCATTGTCAATGTTATGGGCCACTTCTCTCAGACTCCGAGTGTGCGGGGCTATTCCACTGGGTTGGTTCTTCAAGGGGCTGACACACAGTCCATTTCCAAGAAGCAACCTCTCGTTGAGAGATGCAAACTTCTGGAGTTGAAGCGTGAGCCCGGAGTCGCACTCCGTTATGAGCTCTGTCAGGGCTCGCACGGCTTGCGGTCTTAGGGAGGTGATCAGCTCTTGCCTTGAGGCTCGGGCAGCTTGTACTTTGGAGGCGTAATCGGCGTCAGCTGCTTGAGCTTTGCGATTTAGGTCTTCTTCCTGTTGAGCTGCCGACTTCGCCTTGAGAGCAAATCTGCCAGATTGACGATCACCTGTACGAGCACGGTCGTATTGCTCAGCAAGGGTCTCGTACTTGTTTTTGGCCTTTCCGACAGCAGCTTCTGCGTCTTGCAATCTTTGTTCTGAAGTCAAGCCAGTATGCTTCCAATGCTTTCTCCCCCGCTCGATGTTCGAAACCATTTCTTGCAGATCGTCCGACATTTGGTGAAGTGACATGGCAAACTCAAGCCCATGATCCGACATGCGATCATGTATGCTGGTGATTTCCTCGTAGCTTTGTGCAAAAGAGCCCTGCCTACTCTCTGGTCTTCCGATAAGCTCGAGTGTACTTCTGCATAGCTTCTTGAGCCCTTGAGCATGTTTCTCTTCGAGAGCGGAGCGTTCTTTGAGGAAGTATGTGAAATCCTAGAGACACTCTGAGTCTTTTGTCTACGCTGAGTCGCGCAAATACTAACCCTGGCCGAAGCAATGCTCTGCTTCAATCGATTCAAGAGGGTGATCACTCCGATCTCCGACCGGTCAGCTACAGCAGGAATCTCGGATGTTCCAATCGCTTACATCAGATTGTAGGACGCCATCAACTCGTTCTCGGAGCTCAGAAGTATCGAACGCGGTCCGCGGTGAGTCATGAACAGCTGGTGGCGCTCTGCTTGCGGGTGGAGTTGGGAGCGGCGCTTCGTCGTTTCTTGGGTTGCTTGATCTTTCCATGGAGGACCGGATGTTCCCATCTGGATTTCTGTTCGACATTGACGGACTGTGTGGAATGGTTTCAGACATGTCGTGAGAAGAGCGTTGTTGGAGCTTGGGGTGGGTATTTAACTTCAGATGAATTCTCAGATGTCCGCCGAGACCGAATCATATATCTAGATCGCTGGATAATTACATGTTGACAAAGGGATGCGAAAGTGTCCGCGCAAGCGAGAGCAGGTCATGCGCAACCGGAGATTTAGTCCTACCGTACTACGTATTCAGGGCTTAGAGCTCACCCTAATCTAGCTACGGCATCATTTAAAGCATATCATCTATCTACGTAGTACTAATGTAAAAGGACCGCCAAGCTCGTGTAATTGGCTGTTGTGACCCTAAGCTTAAAAATGCGGCCCGAAGGATCAGCGCTGTAATTAGTCAATGTTCCCCTCTTCCTGCCTTCTTGAGATTAGTTGGCAAATAAGCAATGCTTCAGTGGGCTAAGGCTGCAAAATCTTGCCAAGCCATACCCCATCAAAATCAGAATGCGCATACAGAATGCGCAGAAAGAGGGCACAGAAATAGCACTTAGAATGCGTAGAAAGAGTGCACATTATTCGCACACAGAATGCGCAGAAAAAACGCACAGAAAGTGCGTATAGAATAATCTTTTATTCTTCTTTCCTTCTATTCTTTTGTTCTTTTACTCTTTTACTCTTTTATTCTTTTATTCTTTTATTCTTTTACTCTATTCACCCTTTTTTCATTTAAAAAATTTTACATCTACAGTTTAAAGCTCTTCTTATTCTAAACATTTCTATATCTTGAAATTTGTAAAATTATTATTTCAAGATGTAGAAATCATGGGATGAAAATCATGTAGCAAGGAATTTGATGTTCTTCTTGCTAAGATTATAGCAACCTTAATCCATTTAAATATATAATATTGCTATTCCTAATATTAAAAAGCAGCCCATTTAGTGATACGGAGGATAGTAAGGAACATTTATATGGCGTTATATTTTTATATAGTTAATGTTTCTAGCGCTGTGTTACTAATTCTTATACCTCCCCCTGTAGTACTTGCCTGATTGCGGGCTTGCCAAGTAACTTAAAGTCCGCTTCTGCCAAGTAATACCCCACTACTACTAGTAGTGCTCCGGAAGCAGCTTAGATTAGGAAGGTGCGTTAGAGATGCCCTTCTCTTAAGAGTAAAGAACTTCCCACCCTAACGAGAGGGTGTTTAGGAATTAGTTTACTGCTGCATACCATTCTACCTGCATAGTACCCTACTCGTCGTCGCTTTGCCTACGTTGCACCAGTGTCTATCATTCTGCCAAGCAAGACCTTACAGTCAGCTACTTTACTACGTACAGTAATTGAAGTTAGCACAGATGAAATCTGGTGTGCATAACTCTGACGTCATACTCAGCGTATCCTTACATCGAAGCACCAACATGCTTGAAGAAATGCAGGAGAACGCCATCCACGGTTCAATCTCATCCTCGTCGTAAGTCTCCATGACCTGCTCTCGGAAACGAACTGACTTAACATCAAGGAGTTCGAGCAATCGCAAGCGTTTCCATTGTGAACATTTTACCTGTCACGACAAACAAGGTCATCGGTCATCTTTCAGCCGCCGCGCTGATTTGAATCGTCACAATCAAAATGTTCATGGCAATATTCTTCTCGATTGTCCCTGGCCGAGGTGCGAGCGTAGAGGCGATCGAGGATTTCCAAGACTCGATGATCTGATCGAACATCGGGGAGATTTTCCTCACGATGACATTCCGAAACGGGAGAGTGCACTAGAACCATTGAAGTGAAATGAAGACACCATTACGAATTTCGGACTACTTGTGTGTCAAGAGTTGATGGAATAATTGTTCGAAGACTTGGTCGTGGAAGTCGTGCGCTCCCGCACAACTGTTATGATGATACGTGTCAATCTTTGTGAGAACTGCTTGGTCGATTTTGCTGCGTTTTTCTATGTAATGTATTCACTCGTTACTGACCAATTTGGCATGCAATCTCTACATTTAATTTTGCTGTACCGTACAGCCTATTTGTACGTACCTCAACGTCTTCTACCCCCTTTTCTAGATGGAACAACTTGTTATTCTACGTTTCTACGCAACACTTTCATAATACGTAACGTAGTTGGATCTCCTGTTCATATCTACAATAATATCACCAGAACATGACTATAAGAACGAATCGAAATCCTGTCTTCTAATGGCCTCGAAGCAACTGTCCACACCAAACTCTTCATTCACCCTTCTGAAACATAATGTAAAAGAAAGTCCTGAGATCTGGTGGAATGCAGGGATGCACACGATCATCCTTTGAAGACAAAAATGATTTGATCATATCGACTATAATCTTCGTTGTCAGACTTTCAGTTCTCTTCCAGTTCATTCCTCACTCTGAGATCGGAATGCGTTCGGAACGGTATATTCAGAAAGGTATGTTCGGCAAAGGTATATTCGGCGTTTGAGTCTTGGGCTCTTGGCATGACTCCGCAGTAGTAATTTGTATGTAGCGTTCCTGAGTTTGTCCAATACCATGATAATCCCACTCTTGCTGCAGCAGAACGTGACGCTAATAACAGAGAGCAGGCCGCTGCTCGAGAGGTACGCCAGGAGGCTCCTATAGCCCTCACAGCTCCTCTGCCTCCTCTGCCTCTTCCTCCTCCGCCTCCGCCTCCGCCTCTACCTCCTTCTACAGCTTCTACTAACATGGAAAACGTCCCTGATACCCCCCCTTATCAATTTACTACTGCTGCCGCCGTTTCAACTGCTGCTATCGCCACTAGCACCACCACAACAGTTCATTAGTCCTGCCCATCCTCTCACGATAAAGAAGAAAAAGAAGAGGAGGAAGAAGAAGCTACAGATGAGGCTTTTATACCCCCTTCCCTCAACAGCGCCAGCAAGAATGACGCAATCAAGAGCTGGCCGCAAGGGAGCCCCTATGATAAAGGCATTAGAGGCTGAAAGGATGCCAAAACGGGATACCGGGCAGGGCAGGGGTAAGGGCAGAGGCAGAGGCAAGAGCAGCACCGGCAGAGGGGCGTAGGGATAGAGCTATATCTGTAACACCACATTTCCTATACTAATTCCTGATTTAGGAAGCAGTAGCATGCTCATTTTACGTATCTTCTACTGTGGTATTCTGTCTCTTGCTCACTGGAGAATGAATGGTCGACTTGCTAGCAATTTTGGTGGAGTAAATCCCGCCAAGACTCAAACGCCGAATATACCTTTGCCGAACAGTAGTAGCAAGCATCTTGTATTTGTCTAAGAGCAGCAGGCAGTCTATAACCACGTGTTAGGCAGTCTGTCTTCTCTAACCGCACCCGCAGAATAGTAAGGGGATGTCTGGAATGTTCTGTTTAAAGAGGAAGTCTATAAAGCCTATTTTGTTAGTCCTTAGCTATGTGATAAGAGAGCTTTGTGCTTTAGCTAAGCCTTAATGTATTCTTAATCTCTACTTGCTAATTTCCTTACTCTGAGTAAGGCTTAGAGCTTGCTAGAGTGCTGCTAGGTAGGCGCTTTATAATAATTACTAGTTCTCTAATTAAGATGCTCTAACTATTTAGTAATAAGACTAGCATTATTATCACGCTTCTAGGTCCATACGAATGTGAAGCTATTGAGGCCGTTGAAGATGCCAATTTTGGCTTTGCTTCAGCAAGCCACTTTAGGGTGGCAAAGGCTATTGGTATAGCTAATGGCTCCGAACGCGCAATTCAAAGAAATATGAAGGATTTTGGTGTGGGGACCTATATGGCCATGCAGAAAACAATGCTCTTACAATCCTATATTGACGCCCGAATTATATAGGGATTTGAACGTCGATATTAGCAATTTGATGCATTTAAGAAGTATCGATGGTGTGACGAGTCTCATTTCGCTACCAGGCTTGAGTTCATCGTCGCAAAGGTTATAAGGCTCGAAATGCCCTCTCAAAGACCCAGTTCAAACTGAAGCGCCAAAATCAATCAATACATGTATACAGAGTAATTAGATGGAATTTCAAGGGTCAGCTCCACTTCTATACTGGCTCTGGTATAAGGGGACGGCTTGTTCAAGCTGATTACATGGTTATTCTTGAGCAAATCGTCGCTTCTGAATGGGATAAGAATTGCGTTTGATCGAAGATAATGATGGGCCTCATGGAACAAAAGGCAAGGGATCTAATAAGGTCAAAGCTCTCAAAGCCCGCCTTGATATCCAATGGGAATCAAATCCTCCGAATTCGCCAGATCTCAACCCCATTGAGACTATTTAGAGGATAATCAAGCAGATGTTGAAGTCCAGGGGGGTTATCTTCGAAGAAGCCATTCTGTGCCGCGCCATCCAAGAGGAGTGGGATAAAATAACCATCGAGGAGATTAATAGGGCTATCTCAACGATGCCAGATAGAGTAGCTGCCCTAAACGAGCGAAATGGGCGCCCTATCCCCTATTAAATAGCCGTGTAGCCTAGCAGGAATCTGAGAAGTCCCGTAAATTTTGGCGCCAAGCTTCGGGCCAATTCCTGCACACCAACGCGCAGGCATCCTTAAATTTCAAACAGCTATAGCTCCACCAATATAACTCTAAATAGACTCGGATAAGGAGCATTCAATTCAGCAGGCCTTAAATAACGTTGATTTAGGTCTATTTAACCTAATTGGTTAGGTTGCGAATTATTATAATTTACAAAAATTAATGATGATCTATTAAATCATAGCTTGCGTCACCTGTAGCGAGTGAGATCCCTGGTTGGCTTATGACGCCATATGTGCCACTCAACTACGAACTCCCCAGTACTAGTAGTCGAGTCACATTAAATTGCCTTACTTCTTTCAAAAGCTGGTATCAGACTCGTCATCCACCTGGCTTGTCTCACCCTAATACCCAAGCTGACTAGTATGTTAGAATAACCATTCCGGATCCTCGTTATGCTGCAGGACAAACAGGCAAAAAGCTGCCAGCTGGGAAAATCTACCTCGGAGATGACTTTTTTATCTACTTTATATTTCTCTATTTAGGAACATATAAGACGTTCTTGCATCGCAATGAGTCCGACTTGCAGCCATCGTCCGAAATCCTCCCCTACTACTACAGATTGATAGTAATCATGTCGGAGTCGGCTTCCACTTAATGTCTGCAAGTGAGACTGGCACTATCAATTGTGTGACGAACCTATATTAGTCACGGATGTCAAACGAGAAGTATGTCTCCTCCTTTTTACAGCAGTAGTTGCCGGTCTGCTCATCAGCTTATCTGGGAAAAAGAGGGCTAAGCTAACATAGATTCTCTATTGTATACTCCGTATATCTAACTCAAATAGCACTATCTAACGTCCCACTTCTCTTAGCTTCAATGAAGCTCCATGAGGTCAAAGTTGTCAGCGGAAAAGGCCTTGATGTTGCCTCTCAAGACATTTCTCGTTGACTAAATAACTCTGCGAAGCACCATTGGCACCTCTCACCAGGCGAAGTCCTTGCTCACTCCGCAAAGCACTTATCGCATGAGCAAGCGCTATTCCTGCATCAATGAGTGTCTCGCTCTCGTGATCAAAAATGATGAGCAAGCTTCGTGCACAGCCAAAATTGGATGCTGATTCGAATTCGTTCCCTCTTGAAGGGTAATTCAAGCTCACTGCCACATTCGAAACGAAGGATTTGACAAAAAGGGAAAGGTCCGTTCTATGTCCCGAGGCTTCATAATCAATCAATCATGCCTCCCGAACGACCATCACTGATGGCGTGAATCCCTTTGGAGGGAAATAATGCGCTACCTAGGGACGTTGCGGCTAGCGAAGAAATCCTGACCAAGTACTTCAATTCCTGCTCTAACGAAACCGGATATGAGAAATCATTGAGTGAATGATATGACTTTACTTGTTATTTTTGAGGATGCGACTTTGTTACCCACTCTTGAAGAGCTAGGGTTAAGACATACAAGCATCTCTTTAATATCGACCAAGAACTGGCCAGGCACTGCGTCGCGCCCACCCCAAGCCCCTTGAGCAAAGACATGAAGGCTTTACAAGCTGCCCGTGAAAATGTAAGATCACTTCAAGAAGTCGGAATAGCAAATGTGGGATTGGCACGAAATCACACTCTGCCCAAGGCTTAATCACGATGTGAACAAAGCGCTGATAATGCTGCCACAGTTCCTGAGAAGCGTCACATTCAGCGCTAGATCCGGCCATGCGAAGAAAGCCTCTGAAAGCCATGAAGAGCCAAGGAGGTGACAACTTATTATGCAAGTATTGCTTACGAAGGATAGAAGGATGACAGGAAGACGCGAGCAGGACCTTCTCTGTAGTCCTAGTAGTAAAACGTGAAGGGGTCAAAGAAAGCGTAGACGCTCTAAAGCAATGGTATTTAGATGCAGCCTCTGTCCCTGAGTTGACAAGGGAATTTCAGATTATACCACGCTGAGACCTCTTCTTAGGATAGAAGCCAGACAACGAGCGTTTATTAACAATATTATTATATTAGGTAGGATCAAAACAATTCAAACGAACCCAAGTTCCAAAAATGAAAGAACAAAGGCTAGCGGCGGCTGCTGGTGTTTCAGGAGTAAAACATGCCATTATAGCGTCTGGATATGGTGTTTTGCTTGATTCACTTCCAAACAAATACTCCTTGCGTGGTGCTGACAACTGGTTTCAGAATCTGTAGTGATATATTACTATTTTACAGGTATGGAGAGGATTACACTTTCCCTCGCCTATGCTGATTCAGATGTCTCGGGTGAGTGATCACCAACAAACTCAATCATGCTGTTCAATAAAAGCGAAAGAGCGACCACAACGGGAATGTCTGCAGTCGCAGGTCACCTTCCTCATCATGGTGGACGAACCGAGAACAGGGCTGGAGCACCTCATCCTCGTGTTCCTAGCTCACCGACTACTACTAGCAACCTGCCCTTGAACAGAAGGGCTGCAACAAGCAGATCCGCCATACAGGGAGAAGCCAGCCCCGGGGCAAGCAGGGGCGTTCTCCTTCATACCGGAACCAAGGCCTTAATATCGAGGGCAAGTGCTTCAAGCCAGCAGCGATCTGAGTCCCATGTCACTTGTTCCAGCTCTTCTGAAAACTTCAGGACGTCCTCACCGAGCCGGCGTGGAGAAGATGACAAAACATTCCCTAAATATTTCATCGGCATTGAGACCGAGTTCCTCCTCCAAGGTCGTAATGCATACACGCACCGAGGCAATCTCATAGATTGTGTTGCAGGTATGGCACGTCTGTATAACAAGAGTATTGAAGCATGCTATCCGCGAATGGATACGAACTTCAAGGATGATGATGGAATACCCGGACAGAAACGTCACAAGTATTGGATATTGACGGAAGAAAAGGACCTCCAGCTGAGACCCGAGGACTGTAATAGATGTCAGTAGCTCCTCTAACTCCCTCTAATTATCCATTGTTTGGTAGGCCTCTGAGACCGGTATCCAAGATCTTCCATTTCTCATGATGGCTAACGTGCTGCGCCTAGGGTGTGTCGAAATGAAGACTCCGAAAATCGAGGTTTCCGACAACTTAGACTGGACAAGCCAGGTGAAAAGGACTTGGGCGTTTATTAAGGAGAACTATGAGATTAGCAAGAACGGAATGTGTGGGACACATGTCCACATTTCCATGCAACGTGGGATGCAACCTGGAACTACCATTGGAACCGGAATGGGATTGCAGAATTTGAAAGACATTGCTAAGTGTGCCATCCATTTCGAACCGGCTCTTGAAGCGTTGGTACCCGAAATTCGCCGTGGGAATCTCTTTGCCATGAGTAACTGGATCGATAACATCAACTTCGCTGACGCAAGTATTACTCGGCAGGTGGCGATGAATATGATCGACAATTGTGGCAGAGAAATTGAGCTCATAAAGCTCATGTGTCCGCCACCTCAACAAAGATGTTTCGCTTGGAACTTCTGGGCCCTGAAAAAGTTCGGGACTATCGAGTTTCGTAAAGGTAGTGCAAGCTTAGATGCGGCTAACGCACTTGCTTGGGCCGAACTGACAATTCTGTTTGTGCAGGCTGCGGTACAGGCAATACCCGACTCCCTACTGACAAGGCCCGCAAACATTGAAGAATTGAGAAGATTTCTTAGTCCTGAAAAGCTCAGATATCTCAAACCAATGTTCAACCAACTCAATGGAGGAGAGAGTGTTCAACCGGAACTGCTGATGTCAGGTTGGACGAACAAGGAAGCAATGCTGCGGAAAAAGCTGTCAGATGATGCAAGGTTGCAAAAAGCGCGAGCGCTGATGGTGAAAGGCGTGGAATTTTGACAGAAGGAGCTCTCAGGTAATTCGTGAGAGTGGTATAGAGCCCGAACATACGTACGAGCTTGGATTCATATTCTGCGAAGGTGGAACAGAAAAATTGAAACTAAGGCGCGATTGCAGGACAGTGCCCCCAGACCGTTGCTTCCCTCCCGGAGGCTCTCAGAGCTTCGTGTGGTGATGCACCAATACCAAAAGTCGATGGACCTGCTTCTGTCACATCCAGTGCTGCCGGTTCGAAACTTCTCCGCTTGACCACACAGTTTACAAAAAAGACGTGGCATTTATGTTTCCCAACCAAATCTCATTCTAGCTTTCTTGGCAGACGTGACTAGAACCCTGCATATTAACGACTACACAAGGCTTCGGACAATGACACAGCATTCGCTGCGATCGATAATCGCAGAAGATTTTCCTGGATGGATGGAACAGTCTTTCAAGGAGGCGATAGAGCGTACTGAAGACTGTGACTGTCATAGGCGTGGACGTGATGGAGCACGCCTTCAAGGGCTCTTTCTGGAACGCGATACCAGAAAACGGATGCATAAATTATTCCGGCAGAAGGACAGCGCTGATGGTTCCAAACCACATTTGATCGAGGCATCCCCCAACCATTCCTGGTATGATTGTAACGAAGCCGTGCGAAGTTGATTGGAATACTCTAAGTGCAATTGAGGAGTCCTGTGTCGATAGAAGCACTTCCTAAATGGCTAAAATTTTTTGCGTGTGCCTTGCCGGGCCGAAGGGTATGTGCATATCGGAGGCCCTGTGAACACCAGAAATCGGTCGCAAGGAAATCTCAGCTCTCTATTGCCGTCTTGGTTGTCATGCCGGCACGTGCATGTTAAAGGGTCTCGAAACGGCAGGATGGATAATGCTCGAGAGGTTGGTTGCTCAAGGCGTAATCCGAATGGAGTGATTCCAATTGGCTTGAAGAATAGTTATGGATAACCTCCGCACCCTTCTTAGTCATGGAATTTGCGAGTTAAGAAGTCATGTTCTGCTCTAGGTGTTGGACACAAAAGAGGTACGAAGTCGTGGCCGAAGGAAGACTCGCCACACCTTCCTCAAGCGGGCTTCCATTAAGATCTCCAAAAGTACTCCGTATCGTGGCGTCTGTACCAAGGGTACCTCAGCTACGGCAATACCTCTTCGCCTCGGATCCGCGGACACCCTCTTCTCCTTCTTCCACCCTTTTGTATCTTTCATCTTGCCAAGCATGCTTCGCAAGTACCTTCTTTTTCTCTCGTCACGGCGAGTCAGTTCACTTCGTTCATTTATCCTCCAGAAGCCGTGTAGAGGTGTGAAGACATTGCCGGTCTTTTCTTTGGAAGGGAGGACGTGTGTTGGTGCGCAAATATCTCTACCTGGCTGCTCTATCTGAGTTCTACAGTAACTGGGTCTGAGGTATCTTGTGAAGCCAGGAGGCCTTCCACTCATGCACTTACAGAGCTGCTCGCGGTCTCGGCAAAGAGTTTTTGACTGCGTTTGCTCTTTCCGGTGCTCGAGGGTATAGCCACTTTCACAGAGAGAAATCAGCTAAAGGGTTTAGCGCTTGTGTCGATCTCACTCTGTCCGCTAGCGAAGAGTCCGTCAACCATATTAGCGCGCATGTCGCTAAGTCTACCGATACAAAGTGCGATCTGCGACCATATGCCTGCAATGCAACAGTCGAATCCGATGTGAAACATACGTGGGACAAGATTGTGAGGGATTTCGGGAAGGTTGATGTTCTCGTCACGGCTGCTGGCATTGTCGACAATGTTGAGGCCGAGAACTATGATTTTCCTCGTTGGCGGAAGATGCTAGACATAAACCTTGATGGCACATGGCTTTTCGCTAGGGCGGCTGGAAAACACATGCTTGCCCAACACATCAGGGGATCCATCATCCTGATCGCGTCCATGTCAGCCACAATTTGCGTCCGACCGCAAAAACAGGCTGCATACAATGCTTCGAAAGGAGCAGTGCAGATGTTGGCAAAGAGCTTGGCTACTGAGTGGGGCCCACAGGGGATTCGTGTCAATTCGCTTAGCCCTGGATATATGCACACTGACTTGATCAAGAATTTGCTGGAAAAAGAGGGCAAGCAATTGGTTGATAATTGGCAGAAAGGTAGGACGCTCCGCATGACACACGCGGCATAGCTGAAGTCGGCAGACATCCCGTTAGGTCGAATGGCGCATCCAAGCGAGTTGCACGGTACCATTGTCTGGATGGCTAGCAACGCAAGCAGCTATCTGAATGGAAGTGATGTTGTAAGTATCTCAGAAGTCATTTCGACTCTGTGCTCAATTTTTGCAGATTGTAGATGGTGGATACACTTGCTGGTGAAGGCTTGTAGGTGTAATCAGAGTGGAGCATTCTCATTTACCAGCCAAAGTCTCTCTTTACCCATATGTTCATGCCAATTTTTGTGCCTTGTTTGACTGGCAGGCCAGCATGAAGCAGCCTGCCGTCTCCCATGCCGCCTGGTTGCAGATTGACCCAAAACAACCCATTTCCCTTCCTAGGCTCAAACGAAATGCCACCTTCCGGGGAGGTCACCAGATGGTGGAGGGCCGCCGAATGGGTCTTCTGTGTCACTGCGGCAATGTGCGGAAAATGCGTCCCTCCTCCCACGCAGTCATCTTTCAAGTATAAAAAGAAGCTTGCTCCTCTGTTATATAGTCTAGAATTCCAACCCTTATTCTCCCGATGCAACGTGTCAAACCAGTCGACGTGAGCATGGTAATATTCGCTGGGACCATATCTCACAAGTTGAAGCGGTTCGATATCGAAATAGGACAAACCTGCGGCGGGATGTTCCCGGAGCACTTTATCGAGGAATTCTCTCGAGCGGGCAATGATAAGGTCGTGGATTGGGTCGGAAGAAGGCAAAACGCAGGAAGAGGAGTTTCGATGTGACGAAGAACCAGGGCTGTAAACCTGCGAAGGAACAAAGGATCCTTCCGTAACGTTGAGGATATGGTCAATCTCGGAACTTGACAAGAAATTGATTATGTAGATCAAGAGCGGGTCCGTGGAGACTGAAACGGTCGAGTAGTTCTGGGATTGTGCAGGAGGCGGTTGCTGGTGTTTAGTTGTCCCAGAGTCTTGTGGTGACGAGGCTGGCCAACGAAGAGCCGGGAAGAATATCAGAAATATGGCGAGACAGCCAGTAATAAACGACGTTATAGTAACAAATTGATTCTGTGGCTAGCAATGAGCACCGAGGATACTCACTCGTCAATTGCTTACCATTGTGGAAACAACCACTAACATAGATGTACTTGTATCATCCGGGCAAGCCCATGCCAGGCCTCGTTTCCAAGAAAAATCTTTGATGGCAGGGTTCAGTGACAATCAGGAACGGATGAGTCAAGATCAAAAAGTACATACTGCGATCCGAGTCATGCATTGACGCCTAAATTTTAGGATGAAGGATTGCCTTCGTCATGGACCTCTGGCTTGAACCTTTGACGCGCAGAATATTTCGCTGTAAACTTGAATGATAACTGCTGCTGTCCAATGGTTAATTCCCTTTGCCGGGCATGCAGGTGCTGCTTTCGAGTCTCTCCCAGACACTCCTCTGTTTCCCCACATCTATCCCGTCGCCTCTACCAAACAACCGAGCGATTTCAGCCCTCTGGCTTCGCACCACCTTCCCCGTTGTCACTCGGTTCTGCCAAACCAGCAAGATTCTTCCCTCGAATCCAGAGATGGTCGCGGCGATTCGCATACCTCACCCTTCTCACCGCTCTGGGCTACACCCTCGACATAACCTACAATGCTTCTGCTTTCGCTCGTACTTTTCGCACCTTCTCCCTAGGCGTGATGGTCGCGTGTGACTACAAGATCAACTTTCGTGAGAATCCGCCGTTCGCCGACTCGGTAGCGGAGGTACATGAACGAAATGCAAGAAGGTTGTTTACTTTGCTGCGGGAGAACGGAGGGTTGTATTTAAAGATGGGACAAGCAATAGCCATGCAGTCTGCCATACTGCCGCCGGAATTCCAGAAGATGTTTGCGAGGATGTTCGATGATGCGCCACAAAATAGTTGGGAAGAGGTACAAAGAGTGATACGCGAGGACTTTGGCGGCCGTAGTGTGGAGGACGTGTTTGGCGTGTCATTTTCTTCGGACCCCGACAGAGGTGTCATGGAGAAGACGGCGAGGGCTAGTGCCAGCGTTGCGCAGGTGCACTGGGCGAGGCTGAAGGATGGAAGAGAGGTGGCAATTAAGATTCAGAAGAGGGAGATTGACCGACAGGTTGGTTGGGATTTATGGGCATTCAAAGTAGTAACATGGGTTTACTCAAAATGGTTCGATCTACCATTCTACAGTCTCGTTCCATTCATCTCAGAGAGACTCCTCTTGGAAACCGACTTCCAGAATGAGGCTGAAAACTCCGTGAGAATGGCGGAGCTGATCAAAGGAGAGCCAAGACTCCGTGACCGGGTGTACATTCCTGAGATATATCCAGAGCTGAGCACGAAACGGGTCATGACCGCAGAGTGGGTGGAAGGCGTCCGTTTGTGGGACAAGGAAGGAATCAGTAGACCTTGGAGGGGAGGCAAAGGTGGTTCTCCCGGCTGTCATGGTGCTCCTCTCGATCCTCCAGACAAGCCGGTGCAAGTACTTCAGCGAGATAGCAAGTCCGGCAAAATCAAGCCCGAGCGAGATTGGTGGAAAGGTCCTGACGGCAAAGGTGGGCTCGGTCTTTCATTGACAGAGGTCATGACAACCATGGTGGATTTGTTCTCCGCTCAAATGTTCTTATGGGGCTGGGTGCATTGTGATCCTCACCCAGGAAATATCTTCATTCGAAGGCTTCCTAACGGCAGATCCGAGCTCGTGCTCATCGACCACGGCCTCTACATCCATATGACGTCGGAGTTCCGACATCAGTACTCACTATTCTGGAAGAGTCTTATGACATTTGACAATCAGACCATGAAGGAAGTTGTTGGTCAATGGGGCGTCAAGAATGCCGACATGTTTGCCTCCGCCACACTGTTGCGACCTTACAACGGTGGAGATGGTAGTGTGAATGCTCAGATCCGAGGCCTCAGCGAGAAAGAGAAGAAGAAAAGACAATTCGAAATGCAGCAAGCGATGCGAAAAGGAGTCAGGGATATTCTTGGAGACGAGAAGAAGTGGCCCAGGGAACTGATCTTCATCGGAAGGAATCTGAGGATCGTCCAGGGAAACAATCAGTATCTAGGAAGTCCCGTCAACAGAATTAAGATTACTGGCAATTGGGCAAGTCGGGCCTTGAGCGAGGACATAAATCTATCATGGTCGGAAAGGTGGAGGTACTATGGAAGTCACATCATCTTCAAACTCGTACTGGTCGCAACGGATGTTGTCTTCTATGCAGGCAAGTTGCGGCAATGGTGGGGAACAGGGAGAGGAATGGAAGATGACATTGAAAATCATATGAAGAAGATCGCGAAGGAAGCTGGATTCGAGCTCAATCATGGTGTATTTGAGGGATGATGATGATAGATTAGATATATACCCTCAATACAATTAGATGATCGTCAAGTAGGACGGTCTAGAATCCAAGGACAATTTTAACGATGATATAGTTTGAATTATTGAGCATGAAAATACTAAAACGGACGTCATCCAACCGGATTTTCATCTACTTCGATATTTAGATCTAAGTAAACGTACGATGCCATTTCCCTTTATAGCTCCGAGTGTAAAAAGGGGTAGGACGCATATCTTGCATGAGCGTAGTTAATGAGTGAGGAAGCGCGCTCCGAAGAATGGAAGAGTGTAGTTAGAGCCTAGTGCCTGTCAAGGTGCGGGATAGGTCATGTGGAAATTGAGTTGATTCATGGCCTTGTACGGAGTCACGCACTATAGTTGTCTGACTTCACTATTATTTAGCTTCAACCGCTGTTGGGAACGCTTGGACCAGCTTTGCACATTATGCAGTGAGCTAATAAACTTGGCAAATTTGCATTTCTGTTACTAGTATAAAACTCAGGTCAAAGATTACTTTCTAGCCTAGTTTCTGTATAATACAACCTCTTGGGTATGCCTGTGGATCCTCCGTAGATTTGCGTCACACCCTTTCTCATGCCATGTGGATATGGACCCATTTCCTCGGCCTCTGTCTACATACGAGCCAATCCATGTACCTTTTCTGGCAGGTTTCGAGTATGACTTCGAAGGGCTTGAGGATTTTCCAGAATGATATGGGCTCGCAAAAGATGGCGAGTTCAACTTGAAAGATCAACCAACTGAGCGAATCGCATCGTTCACCCAGTCTTGGCTTTACTTCGGCTTGCTCGCCGAATTTGTAGGACCTACTCTCGACAAGAAAGCATTTATGAAGACCAATATTACTGCAGAGCATGTGTCTAAAGAACTTACTTTGGCACCGTTGGATCACGCCTTGGCAACCTCTACCAGTCCTCTTGATCAGACATCGAGGCGCGAATGGCGTGAAAAATGTCTAAAATGTATTTGCTTCTGCGTTAAGCAGAGCTTACTGTTAGATAGAACTGTGGACACCTTGGTTGACGACGTGTCGATAATCTTGCTGTCTGTTAAACTTTTATTGATTGTGCTCATCCAGTATATTGACAAAGATTTTCCGACATCGCCAACTCCAGACGGAAGGAAAACCATCAAGCAGCTGCTAGAAAAATTACGTCCCAATATCAACTCAGGAGATCCAGCAGCTACTCTGTTGGCAATACAATTGCTTGCTGCATGGTGGTGCCCAATGCAGGTTCAAAGGCTTCTCGGTCAGTACGATTACTCCGTTCTTTACTATCTCCTTCAGCTTCGACGATGGGAGCGCGAAGGTCGCGATCATAGGCAGTGTTCCACAGCGGACTGTACGGCATACAACATCGACCTGGGCCACTATTTGTCGAGGCATCGCAGCCTAGGTTGTCAATGCAACTATGTATGTATGCCAACAGCAGAGATGGAAAATCTTGTGCATGTAGGGAAAATTCCTTTCGCCTTTATCAACAGAGAGGCGCATGGGAAGGTGTCACTGAAAGTTACGGAAGCAACTGCGAGAAGCCAGTATATTGCTATCTCTCACGTATGGGCAGATGGACTGGGCAATCCGAGTGCGAACGCTCTTCCACAAGGTCAACTTGAAGAGCTAGAAAGACTTTTTCTCCGCCACATTCCGATGACAAATTAAGTTTCAACCTCGGGTTTATGACTGTAGATTTTTCTCGTTTTCATCATCATCTACATAACAGCAAAGACTGAAGCCCGTTGTTCTGGATGGACACCCTTGACTGAGAATAAATAGGGCGATAAGACTGATGGGGAGGGGGTGAATCTGACCATGAAAGCAATCAACCAGATGGCCGCTATCTATGCTGGCGCATCACGAGTGCTGGTTTTGGACGCCGAGCTGCAGAGAGTGCAAATAGGCGCTACTCAACACTCTGAGATGCTCGGTTACATGACAAGCTGCGCTTTGGATGAGTAGGGCATGGTAAATCCGCAATTTCGCATACTATTTCACTAAAACCGAGTCTAACATAACTAGGACACTCCAAGAGGGCGCACTGTCAGCATCTTGTCATTTTCAGTACGCCGATGGCGCTTTGCAGCCAAGGCACAAATGGTACCAGATTTACGACTTTCGTAGGCTGCCTCCGGAGATCGATGTTGAACAAAGATATATAAGGCGATTGAAAATGGAGTGGCACACCTGCATCGGCAGATTATACAGAACGTTGCGCCCAGGGAATTCAAGTCTCAGTCGCCAGCCCGAGCCCCCACCAACGCACCAGAAATATCTTCTCAAATTATTGCAAAGCCACATCACGGCAAGCTTGCGACAAGGCTGCCTCGACGCACTACGGTCGTCTTGGACAAGTGCGTATGGTCGGGACATGCTAGGACAAGCAAGTTCTACGTCATCAGTTGAGCAGCTTTCAGCTATATGGAATGCGCTCGTTCTCAGGTCCACAACCAAAAATGAAGGCTTGTCAGCTATTCTAGCAAATCTATTAGATTTTAATGCGTACCAGATTTCTATCACAGGAGCCTCGAAAGGGCACCACAGAAGCTGACAAGAGCCTTGAAGGGAACGCAATGAGAGCGATACTTTGGAGTTTGGGAGGGATAGCGCTATCTTTGCTCTATAACGCCGGGCCTTGGGTTCGAGCAGATGAACCTCACAAGAATCGTTGGATACCTTTAGCGCCATCTGAAACTACCATATCCGCTGAACCAGCATTGGAGGTCAATGAGGACGGCTTCTCCGTAAATTCACATGCTGCTGATAAAGCGGAACACAAGACACAGTTGTGCTTCGTCCAAACTCCTACAGGAAACGTGGACGAGTTGGCTGTCAATGTACAAACTAATTCTCGATATCGCATAAAGTTTCTCAAGGCATCTGGTGATACGTTCGAGCCGAGTCATTTTGAAGGAGCATTCTTTCTATTTGAGACCCCCGAAACCAACTCTTGCGGAAAAGGCGCCTGCCTACGCGTACCCGCAGAATGCCCTGATCTTAACGCATCGTCGAACTCACATGGGGAACAAATTGACACGACTGTGAATGAAGATAGCGGCCAAACCGGCGATGCTAAGCCCAAATCCCTGTTAACGGAGGCTGATCGAATAGCTGATGTTGTTCGACTCCAACGATTTATGACTGTCCTGTCAGGGTGTATTTGGATACAAACCCGCCTGCTTCGGACGACAATGTCGAGACCGTAGCAGGAAAGCTGATTGACTCTTGGTGTATAATCATCGAACACGGTAAGCGCACAAGCTTCCTTGATTTTAAATTTCCCTTCCGATTGGAAATTGACCACCCTACTAACACCTGGCAAGACGCGTCGACCTGGAACGGCAGATTTCCCCGCCGCCCCTTGCAAGTCAGTCCCACGAAATTCGGGGGAATGCTAATTCTAGTAGCTCCTCTTCTAACTCTTATCAATCTCTTGGTACTTGCGATGCGCATCGTGATTGCTGTCCAGGATTTCAGAATGGGTATCACAGCGCTAGGTGTCCTTTCTTTAGTCTCCTTAGTCTTCTACATCTACCCTTTAATTCCATGGCCCTTCAATGGCATGTTTATGTTCATCTCTATACTCCTGTTTGTCATTGATGAAGCTCAGCGCGGCGGGATGTCCAGCTTGGATACAAGTGTTATTGCGTTGTGTTTTATCGCTCTGCTGGTGCCCGCTCTGACTGTAATACTTTGGGGTTCGGTGTTTCCGGTCTCCGCGTATCGGGCATGGCTGGCGACATTTGAGGAAGAATGGGACCCTAATCAAAGCTATAGGTGGATCTGGGAACTTTCAAAACTCAATCAGTACATAATGACAAAAATTGGGATGGGTCGATAAGCGTAATCTTAGTATTTCCCGTCGTTGTCTCCCAGCTTGCCTTATCCTCATGCATTTCTCCAGCTGTGTCTGAGAGTAGATTACAAACTGAAGGCATAGTGTGACCAGAAAGATTACACCTTATTTCCGACAGCTGGTATGTGATTCATCCAAAGAGAGCTCTGTGTACGCTGGTCATTGACATAGTGACACAGGACACACTCTCCTGCCCGACATCATGCATCTTGGTGCCTTGCAAATAGATGGTTACTAGAGTGAATTCTTTCCACCATCTACTTTCCCATCCTTGATGCACTCTTCTTCCTAGCTCTCTCTCCCCTCCCTCTCCACCCCTTTCTCATCATTTCACTAACCTCTTTCTCTCCCCCAGTGACGCGAACCCAAAAGGCGAACACGGCACCGAAGACTTTGCTCAAGGCTTTAAACCAATCTTCGATGCACGCCGATTGAAAGTTGCTGTCGATAATGACCCGGCTAGAGACGATGTGCCTGCGCCTGCCGGTGCTGCTCCTGAGCTTTGGACGCAGAAATATTGTAACAAGGATTTTAACCCGCCGAAGAATGGATACCAGAATTAGGCATGAGGTGAGAGTTGGTAGTATTTAAAAAGGGGAAAGGGAAAGTGGGAGTGGTGAGAGATAAACTACGTATGGGCACTATTAGGAGAAGGCAAAGAGGAAGATGCAGCTGGGGTTGCGAGCAAGATCTGCATTTGGACGTCGGCTTGGAAAGCTTGTCCATTAGGTTTCAACCTTTTTTCCTCAACTTGCACGCCGTAATCAAACAACTTTGGTGGCGATGTAGAACATGAACCTGAACCCTAGCGGCATGTTGCTGAGCAACGTTAGAGGGCAGTAAAACGTTGAGTCTTGTTGCCCCGACTTGCACTATTGGCCACAAAGGACAGGCTTAACTCAAGGCTGGCTGATAACTAACGTCCAAGGCGGCGCAAAAGAAGAGGATAGCGATAATAAAAACGCTTGACGTATGCTTCCAAAACCTTATTTGTGGGAGACCTTCAAGCTTGCAGGTTAATCACAAAGGGCAGTGTATAAGAATGGAGTAACTATCTGTTGAGGTAGAGGAGGCAGGAAGTCACAATAGAAGAACACAAGAACTTTTGGTTAAGCGTGAGTGTAAATACTTACTATGTCTTCATTGGGCTTATGACTTGATAGAGGCGGGTTGGGTCGTAGAGTGATAGAGCATTATACCACGAACACCAAGTCTTTATGTACAGATATTGCACAATGAACAAGTCCATGGAATCCCCTATACAAATTTGGTGGGGGCAATCGAAGGCCATGTTGCAGAGAGGAAAATTTGAAACTAATTTAGTGCTGGTATTTTTGCTTGAAAATGTCTTTGGAACAAGACAGCCAATCCAAGACTTAATTAATAGTAGATTTAAGCCCATTTAAATAGGTGTGCTCAAGTCAAGCTTTGCAATACTACGTACCGAATCACAACACTATGATAGAGTAACGATAACTAACCGTCACTAGCAGCAGCCTAGCAATACTTATCCCTCCCCTTGTACGGAGTACTGTTACTAGTACTACTATACTAACTACTTAGTAACTAGTTACTATGTACTTCGTTAGTAGTGGTGCAATTTTTGGAGATGAAACCACAAAAAGTACCACAGGTTGTCTTCACAGCGCAGGTTGAACGACCAGGCTTTCTGATCTGATACGTGCACAGCTCTATCTCCGATTGAAGCGATCAGCGGAAGCTTTCGATTGAGACCGTGCTTTCGTTTCGGGCAATGTCGCGAGCCACAGATGCGAAGTCCGAAAAGCGAAAATTTACCGAGATTGACCAGAGCGTGTCCATTCGTCCTCATAGAAAATCTCACTTCTTATCAAGAGACTCCCCGGGTGAGAATTTCCAACAAAACTCGGATGTTGGGATCGTGCTACAGAAAACTGTGGTAGATGATGAATCTGAAGCTGGTCTCAAGCTGCTGAAGGAGAATCACTGGAAGCAGAATGCAGCGACATCTGAACAGAACGAACGTTCCCCAGTAGATCCAACCCTTATGAAAGTTGCGATGGATGAGCCAACGGGACAACCCACTTTACCGAGCGAGCACAAGGACAAAGCTGCGTTACGGCAGGCAAAATCTGAACTGCGGTCCAAGAAGAAGAGGAAGACATATCCAGTAGATATGGAGTTTGGCATGAAGGAAGCTGCGGCTGTTGAGCCGGCCGCCCCCACCACAGACCACCGGAAGCAAGGAGAAAGCGAAGCACAAAAAGCTTCAGAAATTCACGCTGATAACCAACCTAAACCAGACTCGAAACAGCGATTCATAGTCTTCATCGGCAACCTGCCCTACACCGCCACTACTGCCGCCATCCAGTCTCACTTCTCCAAGCTGCAACCTTTTACCGTGCGGCACTCGACCAACAAGGAGACCGGCCGAAGCCGTGGCTTCGCGTTCCTCGAGTTTGAGGGCTACGACAAGATGAAGACATGCTTAAAGCTGTTTCATCATTCTTTATTCGATGCGGGTGTTGACGAAGTTCTTTCAGAGGGTGGGAAGAGAAAGAAACGTCAGGCTCGAAAGATCAACGTCGAGCTCACAGCTGGTGGTGGGGGCGGAAAGAGCGTAGCGCGGAAGGAGAGGATAAGAGATAAAAATGAGAAGCTTGAGGGTGAGAGGGAAAGGGCGCGGGTTCACAGGGAGAAAGAAGAGGCTGCCGCAAACAGGAAGAAAAAGAGGAAAGATGATGAAATGACAGGAGCCAACGCGGTACAAGTGATCAGTGGAGATCAACCCGACGAAAACATACATCCTAGTCGGCGAAAGAGGATGCAAGCATAGTTCAGCTTTCAAATAAGCATTCCGATGCTTCTATGTAAGGCAGATCCTAATAACGCTTCTGAACGCCTGACTCGATGTAAAATTGCTCAAAAATGGTCCCCACATGTAATGCTGCAGATCAAAAACGATGAAATGGTCGACGAAAGAGTTGCCGCTCCATTTTAGCATCGCCGAACACCAATATTGTGCGCAAATGCCTGCAAATGAGCAGCGAGCTCGACATTCTATCCCACGACGATGAACCTCCTCTTGAGATATTTCCTCACAGGATTACACATTTCATTTTGTTCTTCTCCTTGGTCTTCGGCTGCGGGTTCAATACCGCCCTGTAGTCGGGTCAACCGAAGAAGCCGGCCTGTTCTCGGCATTTGAACTTACTTGATAGCATGATCAAACACACTTTTAAGGTTTCGTTGTGTTAGGGCCGAGCACTCCACATATTTGTACGCTCCAATCTCTTTTGCACACTGAAGCCCCTTGTCAAATTCGATGAATTCCATGTGTTTCGCACGCAAATTGGCGGCGATGGCAGGGTCCTGCTTCAGATCAATTTTGGTTCCGACAAGGATTATAGGCACGCCTGGGGCATGATGTTCAATTTCGGGCCACCACTAAAGGAGATCGTTAGTAGGCTGCTTGCGGTGTTGGGAGCTCCACGTGCCTTTGCTTTTACGTTGTCGAAACTTGGAGGCGATACCACAGAGAAGCAGATTAAAAAGACGTCGGTTTGGGGATACGAGAGGGGTCGCAAGCGGTCATAGTCTTCTTGTCCAGCTGTGTCCCAGAGTCCCAATGAAATTGGCTTATTGTCCACCATCACACTGGCGGAGTAATTATCGAAGCTGCGAGATCGTCAGACAAAGTCGAAGGGGGGTATTGTATCTGCTCGTACACCGTTGGTATATACTCGCCGGGAAATGCATTCGTAACGTAGGAAATAAGAAGGCACGTCTAGGTCACTGTAAGAAACAGATCTTGATCTCATCATGTCGCTCTCACTAACCTTCCCAACAGCGCCGTCCCCAGTCACCACGCACTAAAAGCCGACATCTATCAGTCCTCTCCCATGAGTAAATCGAGTTTCCGCCAACCTTCAATGATTTTGTCGGCTCAGATGCCATTTAGACCTGTGCTCTTGCAAGATGTATAAAATTGCGTTTCGCAGACGATATATGTTCTTGGGGAGGAACAGTGAGTGCAAGGTTGTAGCGAGAGAAGGGAGATTGTTCAATGTATGCGAAGATAGGGGCTGAGAACGGTTCGGACGGTGGAAACGTAGGATGGTATCCAATTGCTTCAGGCTGAGTACCCGGTTTCGGCTGTACGGGGTGGGCGCGTGTGTTCAGAGGTAGCAACGAAGATACGGCCGCCCTGTTAGGAAGATGTGAGAACAGCCTTGGTGTTGAGGATGCCAGTCGGAATCGAAAAGGGGAAAGGCGGCGTCAGCACGCAGCAATGGGTATATCAATCACTAGCTCTTGAGTGGCTCATGAGTAGCTCAGCACGAGGACACCTCAGATCGTGCGGGAGAAGTGGCAGGCTCTGAAGGGTAGCATCTGTTGCGGCCCCCTTCCAAGTTGGGAACCATCTATCAATCCTCACACACGTTTCAAAATTCGTGTAGACGCCAGAATCCTTGGCAGCACCACCTGGGGAGAGGTAAGATGAGACTGCGAAGGCAAGGAGTGCGACACCACACCAGACAAGCTACGGTCCAGATCCCACACAACTTGAACGGCCAACTGTTCTATATAAACGCTCACACAAGTCACTTCTGCAACGTAAGCAGCCATCCGAGGCCAGTCACCCACAGCGCCGATAACTCCACCCCGATTCTCATTGTAGACATCAAAGTTGATCTAAGAACCTCTTCAAAGCTTCCGCAGCTTCATCCGCTTGGACATCGTTCTGTACATGGTGTCCAGCGCCCTTGACAACCACCGTGGTGACACCAGACTTCACGTCTTGCTTCACGTTCTCGCTGATTCGAGATTCAGTTTGAGGAAGCTCGACATGTTCTATCTTTTTCCGGATACTCAGCCCTTCGACACCTTCTCTGTACTCGCACGCCGTGTCCATCATCAACTTGACACTTACCAGCTTATCTCCTTCTGCAGCCATCACCATAACCCGTGAAGGTGATGTGCCCCACCCTTGAATATTCGCGAGTATACTCGGCACATCCGTGAAGCGCTTCATCATACCAATCGGCCATGCCATACTTTCATACGCTGGCATTTGTCGACTGAATTCTCGAACTTTGTCCTGTGGAAATGCTTGACTGAAGAACGCGTTGTGCACTAATGTGTCTGAAGATAATGGCGACCTTGGGTGCTGCAGATGGAATAGGCTTCTGATCATGAACCAAGGGTCCAATTTGAACCAGTTCCAGTACACACCTCGTCTACACTCGTCAGATTGGTCTAGCATTCTTTCGGGGACACCTACGATCCAAAATTCGGTATCGCCGCCACAAGCGCGAGTCCCTGAGCCTTTGCTAGACCTTTACTGAGGATCAGTTGGCTCAGTCCTCCCCCGCTGCTGTGCCCGACAAGGACAACTCTTTTCCCTGCTTCTCTCCTCTCAATCTCCTCAATAGCGGCAACTACATCTGTCGCTAGGGTATCTTTGGTGGTAAGTGCATACATTCGCCAGAATCCTGGAGTCCATGAAGCACCATGGCCCCGAATGCTTACAGCATAGGTGGTGCCGCTGTACTGCTTGTGATGTAGATAAGTCATCCATGGTAGCCACACAGAAGCATGTCCGAAGCCACCATGTACAAAAAGGACCGGAGGATTTCTAACACTGGCAGGGGAGCCTGGCTCTAAGCTCGGAGCAGAGACCAAGAGTTCGATATCGCCGGATGGTGTTTTTATGAAGGTGCGATTGATGGTAGGTGGAAGGGGAACGAAAGAAGGGCTTTGAATCCATCGTAAGGTGAATAGTGATAAGAAAGAATCCAGTAGATAACCCATGGCTGGTGGTTGGGGAGACGAGCCTGAGGAAACTCAGTGATGTGGCAGACCAACAATAGCCGCAAAGAGTACTTGGTCATGTAGCTCCTGAGAAATCAACATCTATAAATTCATTCTACGACGTAGCATTTCCAGATGTTTTTTGCATATGGTTGAGCCGACCTCGGAGCACTTCCTGCCAGTTCATTTGCAACGTTACATTATGCTTCCTCATTTAGAAAACTGTGCGATGTGGCTTGATACTATATTGGAGTCTCGCCAGATCTTGGCTGCAGGAAAACAAACCATCATGCCTCATACCCAACGCAGACATTGGAGACATTGCCCAGTTCTGACGACTGAGGAAAAAGTGTCCTGATTTCACGCAGCAAGTTCATCCCACAAGAAGTTCTACCAACATCCAACATCGCGGCACAGGTGCGGTGCCAACATATTATACTGTCCGTTGCATAATTGTTGCGAATCCCTTGGCGCTACCCTTTAATTACTGGCACCGCAGGGAGGAATTGCGGTCAGATATAAGAATAGCTCTCTAGGGCTATAAAATACGTAGAATTGCTTAAAACTGCTTCTAATTGTTGCTGATGCTTGTATCTTACCCTATATCAATTGCTAGCCCTTAGTGTTGAGTTTATAATAAGGAAATTATGTGTAAGAAGGAGGATAATAAGGAGGATAGCAAGGAGGAGGATAAGGATAATAATGAGGAGAAGGATATCCTCCTCCTTGCTATCATCCTCGTTATTATCCTCCACTTTATTTACATCATAAAGACGCTATATTCACCAAATGGTCGTAAAATGCAGCATTTTACGACCATTTGGTGGATAAAGCTCTCCTGCGTTTAAATACTTCTTATAATTCAACACTGGTTATAGTTTTTTATCTCGAAAGTTTAGCAATAAGATCACAAGATAATCTAGCTTACTATCCGCGGGATTTTGGGCTTTCTACTACGATAATTAGGTGGTAAGTGGCCATCCTCTACCCTCATCATAATCGGCTTCGCAGCGCCACCAATTCGAGGGTAGCGCCAAGGAATTCGCAACAATTATGCAACGCACAGTACCCCCTTTGGAGTTTCATGCCCAAGACAGTTCCACGTTTTAAAGTCCAGGTGCACCTCCTTCCCACATGTTCCACACGCTCTGGCTACCAGCTCGAAAGCAATCCAGGTACTAGTAATTTTATAACTTCGGCTCTCGATCTTGAGATGGCCACACAGGAGAAGCTTAGTGCATCTGGGATCACACCACCACTTGTGCGACCGAGATCAAACATGTCGCTAAAGTGATCCACCATAACATCGGCGTTGTGCCCTCGACGTCTGCTAATGATCTCAATGCTCAAGCTCAAGGTAGGTATTTTGTGCAGAAGCCAATCGTGTCTGTGGCAGTGTGTGCTGTAAATCCAGATGTTTGAACTATTGTCCTTCAAGATTTGGTATTGTTTTCGTTTTCAATCTGGCAATTTATGTCCTTCTGTTGATCATAATCTACACCTCCACATTTATTGATATGGGATTGAGGTTATTATATTCTACTCAAAATAGAAGCTCAGAAGATCCTTCTAACTCTGCCTCAGCATCTTTGGCGCCACGAACGGGTAGTCAGGATAGGCAAGCTTCGCAACAGTCTTCCCGTTCACTCCATGGAGCTGCCGTGTCTCCAACAAGCACAGAACAGAATGCCTCGGCCTCTTCGACGAGCGCGATTGAGGTCAAGACCGTCCGTCGAGCGCGTGCAAGCATACAGAATCGCCAGCAGGTCAGCGCGGCTGGTTCGCCTGGACCTAGGCCTGGCCGTCTAGCCACAGCCAGCAGGAAAGACTACACCGAGGCTTCTTCCGGTGATTCGGCTAGTGACACATCGCAGAATGGCAGCTCCTCTGCTTCAGGGAGGGAAGATCACCTGCATTCTTCTTCGAGCGATCCTTCTGCTGCTACAGACGAGATGTCGCCCTCTGCCATTAGGCCAAGAAGAAGCCTCTTGCATCCCCCATCAGACATCTCAGCCGCCAAAAAACTATACCCGACGCGTCCATGGTCTGAAAGAAGAACGACATCCAGGGAAAGCTCTTCGCCAATTTTCCAGCCCGGTCCCAGTCAAGAGCAGCGTGTTATTCAGCCATCCACTAACTTCAAAGGCTCAATACCGAGCGGAAGGTCAAAACCCAGATCGGCCAGTTCACTACTACAATATGCAAGCTGGCCTCGGCAGACTATCCCTCCAGGTATAGGAAGAATTGTTGACCGAGACGGTGCGGCATCTTCGAAGGGCAACCCACAGGACGATTCGGTAGCTGCCGTTGGGGACCAGTTCTTTCCACCACCAATAAACGGTCAAGTATTACTCCCTGGTTTTGATAAACTAGAGCTTCGTGATGATGCACGTTCACCTGCTGGCAAGATCGGAATCGGCATCGAGGTGGAATTTTTACTGAAAGCCCTCGACCCAGAGGACCGGAGATCGACGTTAGGCGAATTTACAGACACGATTGCACGTAAGCATAATATAAGCGTTAGGGGTCATCACCCCAGGATGAGAAACGAGGTGTTCAGCTTCCTCAAAAGAACCCGTTTTGATAAATGGGTTCTGACAACTGATGCTTCTATGTCAACCCACAGGGAGCCTTGTGGGTAACCTTCACTTGTGATGCGCTTGACAGAATCACTAAGCATAGCTAACATCTGTACAGGGGGCATTGAAATGTTGACACCACTCTTTGTCGCCTTTCCGCGGTCACCTTGGCGGAGCCATGTCCAGGCGACTTGGAAATACCTTCAGCAGCACTATGAGATCACAGACAACAAAAACTGCGGAACTCATGTCCATATTTCAGTGGAAGGAGGTTACTCTCTGGAGGACGTGAAGCGGGTGGCCTCCGCCAGCATACACTTCGACACAGCTTTCGAGGCATTGGTCCCAGAAGCTCGCAGAGGACGGTGCGAATTCGCCCGAAGCATGTGGATCGATGCCCGAAAATTTGCAGCAAAGGGTAGATCTCGGGCTGAGGCTATCCTCATGATCAATGGTGTCACGGACTTCCACGCCTTCTCGAGTCTGGTACAGCCGTATACGCTGAGGGGGTACAGCTGGAACTTTCGAAGCATCTTGAAATACTACACCATAGAATTTCGTAAGCCTCCCGCAAGCAAAAATGCCGACGAGGCTCTTGGTTGGGCAGAACTGGCGATGTCGTTTGTTCAGACGTCCATAAGATATGGGTCGCCAGAGAGGTTGAGACTGATTCCACCAACAGTTGGCGGTCTGCGCTGGTTTCTGCGGCAAAACCATATTGCTCGCTCGAATGAGCCAGAGCGTTTAGATCAGATTTGGGCAGGCAAGGACCCGAATGCATTCGTAGAAGGTATACCCCTCGAACATGTAGAGTGTTCGGAAGGGATGGGGAAAATAGCGAGGATGATAGAAAGGGATAGGCAGGATATTCTGAAGCAGATACACAGCACACAGGAGCCGTACTGGCCAGAATAAAGAGTTCTGACATGGTGACTCTTTCATTGAAAGGGTGACCAACATCTACAGGAAACATGTCCTGGAAGCATGCCCTACACAGATCATCTCTATCATCCACAGTGAGGGGCACATGATGGATGCTGGCGTTCAGAAGGCGATTCGTTTAAAAGACGTAAACGCTACATCGTCTGCCCTCCGCATCAAGCCTTTCCTTGATGGGTCGCCTCGAGAGCAGCTTTATAAGCGGATCAAGTAGCTCTTTCATATCGAAGACCGATCGTTTCTTTTGATCGAGATGCGAACCATCAATCACGATCCTCTTCAGCTTTTTAGTCTTCAAGACATCCTTTTCAAGCAAGTCAAGGAGTCTCTGTGGAGTACCTATGCCAATACCAATCCTAAGAGGCATTAGACGGGCAAGGCCGAGTGAGTGAACATACTTGGTGCGCTTAACATAATCAACAGCCTCTGGCATTTTGATATGTTTTGCAAAGAGCTTTGCAACAGCAGAATCGGGTGACTGATATATGCGTAGAGACCTGGTCACGATATCAGCATTAGGGCGGCAATGAGCACCAGAAGCTTTAGACCTCGTCACGTCTGCAGCTCTTAGACCAGATGCAGCAACAACTATGGTGTGAGGACTGCCAGGGTCTTCGCCACTAATCGACAGGTCTTCTTTGCTGTTGGAGATATGCTCCAGAAATAACGGTAGACTTTGCAAGCTCCGGGGTGCGTCAAAGTTTGTTGTGTCAGAAAAGATCCGTTGGGAAAGATATTTGTCCCCGAGCTCGACAGCGCTTAAGTCTCGAAAGGACCGTTTAATCTTCTTCGAAATGTGGTCTGCCAGGAGGCCAGGATCCATGTGCCTAATCGACTCGTCAACATCTCCATCGGTTTCAGGATGTCTCTTCGCTGGCTCTGTGGCGGTCTTCTTTGCTGTTGACGAGTCTTCCCCTCTCTCGTCGTTGAGACTCCGTTTCCTCTTACTTCCATTTCTCCTGGGCTTCTCAGATGTCTGCCGGAGTACTGCTGCCATCTTCAGTATAATTTAAGAACCATGACAAATTCATGCTTTCTGTCAGCAAGCCTCGAAATTTTTGAGGCTCAAAATTAAGCTTTGTTAGCGCGACTACCTGCATCAAGCTTCGACGCGTCGCCACATTATCAACAAACGAAGATCTTGTTTGCTATGCATTTTACATTCACTTAGATTGACGATGTCTACCAAGAAGAAACAGCCGCTTCGCCCACTTCCGCAACTACCGGCCACACCTCGATGGGCTCCATCAACTCCCCACGCGCTTCGAGCTTTGCAGCAGAGGAGCGGAGGCCGGCGCAAAAGTGCCAATGTTAATAGACCCGACTCCGCACGCCATATTCTCCGTCAGCTCGCAAGGATTACGGCAGCTCAGACGAACCGCAGGACTTCGACGCCTATGGTAAAGCCGTCTACGCCGGTGGAGAAGGAAAATGTATACAGTCCATTCATATCACCCGACGACGAAGACCTAGAAAACGAGCAAGGATTGGAAAGACCAGATTTTACATTACCGATTGAGGAGGTGGACGAAGGTGAAGATGTTGGCATAGCGCCAACACAGCACGAACTACCGGGTGGAGAAGATTATACTTTCAAGTCAATTGATTTTGCAGCACAACAACCTAGAGCACCTACCAGCATTCGATCGGAAAGAACGCGGAGATCTTCCCGGTTCTCGATTCTGCCATTTCCGGAAGAAGAAGATGGCGAAGGCGACCTCACAGCTCAGAGCATCGAGTATGGCAGGAGAGCTGTTAGCGAAGGGCCTGCCTGGGATAGATATCCACGAAGCAGCTTCGGCAGTATTAGGATGAGCGAGTTTGGTCTCGAAGGAAGTAGATCCGGCAAAGAGCCGGAGACGGAAAAGTCTTTCATGCTTGATGGTCATCATGCAGACATGCATGCCGACGCAGGGGAGGATATAGAGCTTGAGGACAAGTACGTACAGTGCCAATTATATACTGATGCCGCTAGCTGATATGTCCAGCAGTGAAACAGAAAATTTGCAACGACTTCGGAGATCGATTTCTGAACCAGTAGATGATGGACTCTTCGTAGCTGATCCGGGATTCTTAGATGATGACAACACATTTAGACTCGATTTTGACCAAGACGAGCCCAGGAGTGATAGGTTCATCCCAGTGGTAGAACCTGAAGGTGGTGAAGTCTCTAAGTCAATGGAAGAGACCGGACCTGCAGATTCCTCCCGACAGTTCCCAGATCCAATGCCTCAACATTCTCCTGAAACCACTCGACAACTGACAGAAATCGAAGCGGCGGCGCCGACGCGTGCTCCTCGGCGGAAGAAGTTGAAGCTGACCAGGAAGGGTCACACTGTGCCAGCTCTGCCATCGAGCCTCATCAAGAGGGTAGCCATCGACTCAATGACAAGGATAGGCAAGAAAAAGCCTGTCATTAGTCGAGAAAGCTTGACGGCACTTGAACAGGCATCTGAGTGGTTCTTCGAGCAAGTGGGCATGGACCTCGAAGCTTATTCGAATCATGCGAAAAGGAGGAAGCGCATCGATGACACGGATGTCTTGACCCTTATGAGGCGACAGAGAATGATTGGCCGAGGGCAGAGTCTTGCACAATTGGCTGAGGAACTTCTTCCTGATGAGGTTTTCTTGGATCTAGACCTGCCGGATGAGGCTTGAGGAAACCTGCGATGCTTTTCACCATTGAGTGTTGTGGCGGACCCTTCGTGTGACATCAGAAGGCTTCTTCTTCAGGACCATCCACATCATAAGAGCTGTTGCTGCAGAAAGGGAATACCTAATGAGATATGATTAATGAGGTCTGGTAGACATTCGGAATCGGAATACCGAGCATGTGGGAGGTTTACTGACCATGTAAAAATATACTGCGTATGATTGTTCCGCAGATTCACTTCTGCAGCTCTGCCAATCGGAATTCCCTTGGCTTCTCGGTCATAGGATCTCAGAAGGTCAGGAGCTAACATTATCAGCAACGTCAACTCTCCAGATATTGCTTACAAACCCATCGTTTCCTCAATCCATACAGGCTCGGCGTCCGCGAGTTGGGCCATCTGCTCCACATCTGGAAAGTAGAATTTTCCATCCTCCGGCTTGTTGACCGGGGTAAAGAAATTCTTCTTCCATGGCTCCCTGAGTAATCCTGCTACAGTGACTTCGCCTTTGGGCAATGCTCCCTCCTGTCTATCCTGTTGAAATCGCTTCTCCCGGCTTACCCAACCTCGGTTGACAAGTATTGTGCTTTCGCCTTCCGACCTCTCCAGAGGCGTAATAACCAAGAATCCATCCACGCCGTCATGCATTCGTGGACCTATCAGCATTTCCCTGTCGTGTCTAAATTTACCAGTCGCATAAACTCGCCTGTAGTCGAAGTCGCTAATGACAGATGGGTCTATCCGAGGGGGCAATGGGAGAGGTGGCCGAACGAGTCGGTCTTCGAACTTTGCGATCAGTTTGGTCTTCCAGTCGAGCCGCTGCACCTGCCATGTTCCAAGACAAAACGCAGTGAAAGGGATAAGTGACAGGGTCAGAACCCCCAGGATAGTGTGCTTCTTCTTTGTAGATACTATCTGGGCTGGATTGTCGACGACCGACACGAATGACGGGTCGTCCGCTGGGTTGTGGGCATTGCGAACTGACTTGAATGGAGGTCTAGAGCGTGGATTGTTACGTGGAGTCTTTGGTCGTAGATTCGTCCTTAATAGCGAGAGGCTCTTCTGCTTGTCCATTCCAACCGAAGGCTACATGGGCATGACCGCGAATGGCTGCAGCTGCAAATAAAACTCCAAGTTGAACTCTGTATTCCACAAGCATTCAGTACAATACTGTAATATTTATTTGCTACGGCGGACGGTTCAATCTTGGCGGACGCATAGAGGGCCACTCCACACTCGAGAACATTTTCAACACTTTTGTTATGTGACTGATAGGACTCTTCTAAGAACCCAGCGATGTTTCATGAAGGAGATTTACAGAGTGGTATCGCCCTGGCGGTTCAGCAATCAAAAGCAGTGCTTTGCTTCGTTCATGGTCTAGTCGCAAATTCACCAGAAAGCTCCAAGACTAATACCAACATAGATCATACGGAGAACAGCAAGAGTTGGGAAGAGATCATATCAAAGGATGAGCAGGCACGTCCTCATGTCCAGAAGCTCGGTTGCAAAGTATTGACCCTCCTACATAGGTTGTCGAAGCAGTCCGACGAAACGCTGTGGCCTTGCGGATTACTGCAGGCTCCCAAGAAGCCGGGTTCCTCTCTTCGTTCTGCCCCTTTGTCGCCGTACCTACTGTGGTCGTAATACAGCAAGTACTTCTTTGCTTGAGACCCAGGCGCTGCTGATAAAGACAGAAATGGCACCATGAAAGGGATGATACCGTACTTACCATCGACCAAGGACCAGCTCAAGGCACGCATGTTACCCCTCCTCGGTCCACAGCAAGTTTCACTTGAGGCAGGCGTTATTGACGCTGAACGCTCTGCCACTGCTGCCGTTACAGGTTCTGAAATAGACAATGAAGCTACCCCACACGCTACCGAAGGGTCGTCAACTTCCGAAGCGCCTGACCGATCCGTCCCTGTACCGACCCCACCTATGCCCAGTACAGCATCGACTGAAGGTCCTTGTCGAGAGGAATCAGGGCCCTCGGGCGACGACAAAGAGGAGACCGAAGTTGCATCAGGGCAGCACTCTGGATCGCAGCGAATCACTGAGTTGACGGTACCTACAAAGAGCTCCGGCGATACCAAAAAGTCTCCAGTGAAGTCGATATCGCAGCAAGACTGGGCGGCAAGGCAGCGAGAAAGAGAGAGGCAACAACGCGAGGAACGGGAGCGCATTAAGGCACAGATCAGGCATGACCACGCTGAGCGAAGACGCCTGGAAGAGCTACGAAGACAACCTGCTGTAGATCTGACATCCCACGATGCAAACAATCCTGCCGTATCAAATGCCAGACGGCTAAACTCTGGTGAGGTCAGGATTCAAGTCCGGAGTTTTGAAGGGTCCACACTCCGCTCTTCATTTCCAAAGACCGCCACTATTGCAACTCACGTACGCCCTTGGATAGACTCGACTGCGCAACAGAAAACACCTTACAACCTGAAGATCATATTAACGCCACTGCCGACTCGCACAATTGAAGCCGCCGAGGAAGAGAAGTCCTTGGACGATTTGGACATCACTGGCAGCTGTACGCTAGTGATGGTTCCCGTGAAAAGTTTCGTGGACTCTTACGCTCCTCCTGGCTCTGGGATTATTGGGTCAACTGTTTCGGGCGGCTATAGCTTGCTCAGCGGGTCGATTGGTGCAGTCATTGGTGGTGTTCGATCAGTGCTTGGCTTTGGCCAGGTGACAGCTGAGCAACAGCCA